TAGGAATAAAAATGTATTTTTAACAAATTTTTAACTGCGACCACTTTTATGTGCGAATCGCCGAAATGAAATGGTATGTAGAAAATAGGTGTACTTTGAGGGGGTGTGTGAGGCTGAAAGTTGTTTTTATCACAAAATAACTTATGAACTTCTCTTAGTTGGAGATTTAGCTGTAACTTGACATCAAAACATCTAAGTTTCAAGACAGTCGATTTTTGTATTTTTGTCCACCTTCGCGGCACTGTGCGGCGCTGCGGTGATGGTGGCGCGTTGGAAAGAGTTATGGCATAATGCGGTATGTGTGTGGCGTGTGAAATGTGTGTGTGTGTGTGCGAGTATGCGGTGTCGTGGGTGTGCTTGTAGCGAAATTTGTAAACACATAATGACTCAATTTAGCTCCGCTGTCCCATGTGTCGTGCAACAGCAACAGCAACACCAACACTGACCGGCCGACCGGCAGCCAACAGCCACCAACAACTAGCGACCGCCAACAATCAGCCAACTTAGCCTGCAATCAAGTAACTAACAATCGAAAGCGGGCTAAGGTGAGAAGGAGGAACGTTAGCCAGCTATGGTGGTCATTAAGTAGTATTTACGTGGAATTGTTGACTGTTGGTGATGGAGTGAGTGAGTGACTGAATGAGTGTGTGTGTGGTGGCGTCAGCGGTGGCATGGCGCAGACAAGGCGTAGCTGGACGGATTTCCATGTAATCAGTTCGTGTGTGATTAACACGTACGCGCGCACTCACACACACACGCACGCACACACACCGTCGCATTAATGCGCTAGCAAATCGTTCGTTATTCTGAGTGAGGAGGGGCATTTAAAATTAATATTATTTGTTGAGAATTAAGGAAGGGTTTTAGTAGCGTCGGCCATTGGTTTTTTTAGGGTTGCTAATGCCAAGCTTATGCCTATGTCCTTTAGCGTTGCGTTTTATTTATTTCTGTGTTCTATGTTTTTTTGTGCTGTTTTTATGCTGACAGGCTAAATAACATTTTTTTTTTTTACTTACACTTTGCCAAATGAGCGCGAATAAATTATGAGGATTACTGTGCTAAGTCATTTGTTAAAAAAAAAAATTGCAGCTGTTAACTTGAATACTACATACGACTAACTGTGAGTCATGGCGGTGCTGTGAGGCTACTAATTCCTGTGTTATTACTGCCTTTGGTAATTTAAATTGAAGTTTGCAAATTTTGACGATCAGTGCGGGATAGTGATGGGTTATTTGAAGAAATGTGTACACAGTCAGTTGCATGCAGCTGTTTCATTAAAATCAAAAACTAATAAAGAGGAACAAATTTTACGCTGCACACGTCCAGTAAAAAAATACAGAGCTAAAGTCCACACAAGCTAAGCTCAGCAAACTCTAACGACTAGTTGGCGGAGACATCAATGTTGCGATGAAAACAATACCAGACACGTCTGGTCTGTTTTTCCAGGCAATACTTCTCTGCCGTAGAAAAGGGGCATGATAAGAACGTAGAGAAAGAGGAAGAATTCCGCATTGTCTTTATAAATTTGTGGCTTTGGAGGTTTTATTACATCATCCATTAGGATTGTAAATGATCTAACCCCGAAAATATAGTCTCATCAGCCTCAAATTCTGATCGTGACGCCGGAGCAGATTTCTAGTTATAGTATACAAGCCAGAAGGCCCTTGCCCATGCGCAGGTGGATAGGAAACTCAGACTTTGCAGTCGAGCTTCAAGTCGCAGAATTACGTCTGCGGCAGGATATAGAGAGTGGAGCAATCATCAAACACATCTTAAAAAATAAGCTGACAGTATGACTTCGCCTATTGCCTCGAAGCCGCTTCCATGCTAGGATGGGACTGGCTTCACGAAATAGTACACATTGTATCCAAAAACCGAGTTTACCCCATTTAAGAGCCGAACCACATTGAAATTGTGCACAAATGGGTGACGTATACCCTCACCAGGAAGGAAAGGTCTACACAACGCCCAGAACCTTTTATCGGTCTGCCATTACTGTGTATGAAAGAGAAAGCGCAATATTATTGGAAGAATACGGACAATGATAGATACGCCAAATGCTTCATTCAAAAAATTGAAGTAAGAAGAGCGAGACAACCCTTCTAAACTTTCTTATTGGTCACTGCTGTGTGATGAATCACTTGTTAAATATGGCAGGTGTACGCTTCGACCAGCGCCCATAACTGCACGCCTGTAAAAAACTACGTGCAAGTAATAAATCCCCTAAGCCGCTAGCCGATGGTAAATCAAATCCGTCAATTAAGGCCGGTTGTTCGATATCTGGTTATCACTACCTACCAGTTAAACATTATTATCGACGTTACCGTCGATACCATCCCAACAACGCTCTCATTGGAGGGCATACATTGAGTTGTACAAAGTATCATCTATTAGGGCGGAGTCACAACCGGCCTCAGCAACAGGAAATAGAGTCCGGCGACCACCTCTCAGACAGTAAGACAATCGCGCTGCAGCTAGCCCCACTTCATTCCAGACCAACTCAACGATCTTGACAACGGATGAACTCAGGCCCGCTCTTATATACGGCGCTGAGCATCCAGTGTACCAAGTCGAGTGATGAAGATGACAACACCTGACGAAACGTTAGGAAGGTTGAAAACTGTTACTGTGCACCAACGGAGTAATTTGGCTTCTATATGGGAAACCAGCGTTCTTTTAAAGGCTGTTTGCAGCAACCAAAGTGCGCACCAAATTTGGCACATATCGATAAAATTTCATAAATATTTAATTTTATTTTTTTTTTAAAGAGGTCCATTTTGGTATAAATTTTAAGTGATTTGACTTCAATTGCTATTGAAATATGGCACATCTTGGAGTTCCTATCTTCAAAGGGCAGAGATTGTGCCTTCTTTGCCTTACAAGAGTGTGACATAGGGATGAAACGATACGAGTAAATAATTTAATTTTGGTATCGATACTTGTGAACCAAGTACAGAGTAGGTAGCGACAAACAAATACTCGTATCGTTTGTTATTCTAAATCATCTGGTTCTTCATGGCTGTTTAATTGCTAGCAAAAACCGCGATAAGGCGACAACGTCAATATAATGCTTCACCAAAGTCGATATAAATAATCCGACAAGGCCCAACTGTTCGAGCGGAAGAGTAAAGTGGATGAATGCTCATGACGGACGTTTCAACAACGCGATGTTAGACTCACTGAGTATTAGACCCCGTTCACATGACAGGCGATTAACTGGCGTTTTGTTACTAACCAAATATCCAGAATATTGCTGATCAAAACTCACGACCACTTCACCTTTGAAAAGGCCGGAAAAAGCCGTAGACTATTAGATTTTAAGACCAACCGAAACTATTTTCGCCCTTCAACAGCCATTTCTAAAAAAAGTGCTTCGGAGGATTCGGTAAAGAGATTGTCTTTCCAATTCTTTTTGTTAGAAAAATAGTGTTATTTTTTAACAGCTGGAAAGATGTTCAAACAGCTGATGTTTCCGAAAAACGATGTCTCTATGCTTTAGACCACTTTGAGCGGAATTTTTCTTAATAAAAATTTTCTATCGGTGCCATGTAGCCGGCCATTTCAGACCACAAAGGAGCGTGAGAGTAACTTTTTACAGATACAGTTTGTCTTAACCCTTTGAGTTCCAAAAATCGACCGTTGAAGTTAGAAATGTGAACATTTTTTTATCGGCTAATTTTGGGTCTTTGATTTCAAAAATACAATCAAAAATTATATAAAATTCTTAGTTTTACCATTACTCAGCGTCTAATGTATTGGGCAGTGGAAGTAAAGGTTGGTATTTTTAATTTTTTTTTATGTTAGGGTATTCATATACATACTTTAAAACTATGAATAAAAAAATTTTTTTTTTCGGCTTCCAACGAAAATTAGTTAACTTTTTCCTATATATTACACTGTTCGCTATTCGAAAATATAATAAAAGAAACGCGTTAAAGAAGAATAATATATACTTTTCGCAAAGCAACTGCTATCTTAAAACCAAAACCTCTTGTTTTCGAAAAAAAATAGCTTTAGGCATAAAAAAAGTTTGTTCCTTATAAGGAACGATTGTACTGAAAGGGTTAAAGACTTATGAAAGAACTTGGTAGAAGGCGTACGTCGTTGTAGAATCAAAATCAGGACGTGAGCTTAATTTGATCCTTAAAAATAAGCACCCATAATGGGACAATTTTTTTTAAGAATATTTGCGAAAATATATAAATTTTGTATAACATCTTAATCACATAAAAACTTAAGCTATCCACAGGTTGCCTTAAAAAAAAATGCTCAACGAAATCCAAAAGAAAGCAACACAAATACCCAGAAAACTTCTTGCATCCACCAATCGTCGCAATCAATTTTCTCTGCGGTAAGCGTTTAGACATTTGTGAGCAGATATAAAAATTTGATAAATCGCTAGGCGCGATCGTAGCGATAAATTATTGCGCCATCGATCGTTGTTGCAATAGGTATCAGTTCAACAGATGCTGCAAGTGGGCAGGCCTCGTCCACTGCGCAAGCAACAAAATCCAAACAAACAGAGCAGAGAGGAAAATGGCCCAAAGTCAGTAAGAAAAATTCGACGTTTTTAATTGAAAAGTGAAGAAGGAACAAAACAGCATAGAAAAAGAGGGATGAGATATCAGCCACAGTTATGACAAGTAAACCAATAAAACGCTTAGCCACTGTAGACGATCGAAGAGCCAAGAGGAGAACTTGCTTTATCTTCGTTATAAACAGCTTTAAATGTTTGCTAGTACCAATTCGCTGCTCTCATAAATCCTCATTCCACAATAAATTGCCGCTAAGACAGCAAAAATGCGAAACCCACCCAACAGCGCCGGCAGTGAGGACGCATTGCAGTCAGCCCACTCGGACAACGCCAGAATTGTTATGGGTATTGTTATAAATAGTTATAGTATCTACCAAGATCGCACACAAATAAACACCCATACACACTCACATACGTACATACATACATATGTGTGTACTTAGTTAGCTATCGGCTGATTACTCACCAATCGATCCATCTAGCGAGTAGGCATTGCGCTGCCATGCCCACGTACATAAATCACAGGTGGTAAGTCCGTCCGCAGCGACGCCATCATCCAGAAAGGGTGGGCGTGGTGGTGGCGGTACAAAACGCCCATTCCACAGTCCATTTTCGCTGGCATCGAACGCGAGCGGCGATTCGAAAGTGTCCTCTTCGATGGCATTCGACCACCAATCTGCATCGTCTTCAGGCAGGTAATTATTACTCGCCGCGCCATCATCCAGCGGACTGAAACTACTGCTGATGCTGAGGCTGCTGCCATCAGCGGCAGCCGCATTCATCGACGCCGTGGCTGCGAAATCATTGTTGTTGGCCGGATCGAATGGCGATAGCAGCTGATTGCCAAAGGCGGGCGATGGTGTGGCCGAGGCAGAGAAGGAGGAGGAGGAGGACGAGGAGGCATCGTGTGAATGCTGTTGGTGATTGTGATGCTGCTGATGATGATGAGCATTCTGCGCGCTGCTGCTGCTGCCGCTGCCGCCGCCGCCACCAGATAGCGAATCTAGCCGCGAGTTCGGAAACACCGTACGCACAGTGGTGGTGGCACCAAGAAAGATATCCGCTCCAATTGGACCGGGCAGGCGGGGAAACATTTTTCGTACTAAGCTGAGCTGTGGTGACAGCTGTTGCCAAGCGGATTACTTTGGCAGTAGCTGTCACTAGTTGGCGGCGGCTGCCACTGGCAGTTGGCAGTTGATGGCGGTGGCGTTGATTAACTTTTTGTTCTTGCTGTTGTTGTATTCGTTGATTAAGTGCGCTGCAGATGTAACGATTGGATCTGCAATAGAAAAAAGATGTGCTTGCTTTAGGAAGGTTACTGATACAGTTTTTGTTATATAATGTTTACAGGAAAGTATTTTGTAACGGTACGTGCGGTCACGTACGGATAACGAACACGTACTACGCTTGGCATATTTATTCTTCGTTACAAACGGTCATAAAATGTTTCTTTTAAAATGTCAACACATGGTGGTGTTTGTCATTAAATGTGCTCGGTTCCAGCTACAAGTTAGGGTGTTTTTTATTTAAGGCATCCGAAAAGTGAATATTACTGTAAAAAGCTCTTAATCCTGATCAGCCTGAGGGAGGTTTATGAATATTTTTTTAGCTTTTAAGTATTTTTCGACAGTCGATTAAGGCAATAACTCGGTAAAGCAACACCCACAAGATTACCGTTAGTGAATCAGTAATTATAACTTAAAAAAAAAATTTTGCTCTTAAACGCAACTTTGTATCTAAATTTTTTTATTTCGTTTAGTTTTTGTCTCAAATGGTCTGAATAAGACTCGGTTTCCGTAGAAGACACCTTAACTCTTCAAAAGCTGAGAGTCGACCGCCGATAAGAATGTATCCTCAACGAAAATACAAACGAATATATTCCAATATTTCAAAACCAATTAAGTGAGAAATATGTATACTTATTTCGATTTTGTATAAAAATTAAATGATTTTCAAGTGTATTAAATTAATACTTTTGTTTTGTCTTACCGCGAACAATATTATTTTACTTTTGATGCTTTTATTTTCAGGTAACATTTTTATTTCAGGCTGAACTTTTTGTGATCCGGTAACTGCAAAAGCCTTAATCAACGCAACTGCACAAATTTTTACCGTTTGCTTTTACCAAGGGCGTACTGTAATTATTTATTCCTCTATTATAACAGGGTAAGTATGGCTAAGATAGTAAAAAGGCTTGCCATTCGAGAGATCAGAGTTCGAGTGCTCGGGCAGCGGAGATTTACATTTTTAATTTAATTAAATTTCCTTTTAATTTTAACATTTTATATTGTTTTATAGCCAGTTTTACGAAAGCGATTTAAGTGAAAAATATATATTTTTTTATTTGAATTTAATATGAAAACTGACAGAATGGAAATATTTTTTCACTCAAATATATTTTTTAATTGCATTTAATTTTTAGAAACTTATTTTATGTGTTATTACGTTACGTGTTATTTTATTTTATTTAGTAATTTAATTTTCTTTTACTTTGCAGATGTTTGAGGAATAATTTTTTAGTTTGATTTCATTTTTAGGAACTTACATTACTTTTCTCTTTTGTGAATAACTTTTTTTTTCTGTTTTTAGTTTAATTTCCTTTTAATATTTTTGTTTTCATTTCATTTAAGATTTAATATATTTTTTTCCTTTGTTAAACAATTTAGTGAAAAATAATTTTTCACTCAAATATATTTTTTAATTTCGTTAAATTTTTAGAAACTTCTTTTATGTGTTATTATGTTAAGTGTTATTTTATGTGTTATTTTATTTTCTTTCTTAATTTAATTTTCTTTTCATTTTTGGATCTTAGAAGAATATTTTTAATTTTTTTGAACTTATTTTACTATTTTTTTAAATACGTTTTTTTTCTGTTTTTAGTTTAAATTTCTTTAATTATTTTTTTATTTATTTTAATTTGTTTTTCTTTTAAATTTTAAATTTTGTTGTTTTAAAAACCAAAATTTTTTTGTTCGTTATTTTTGAATTTTATTTTCTTGTCTTTTTTAAATTAAATTTTCTTTTAATTTGTAGATTTCGCTTTAAAAATAAGGATGTTTTTTGATTTTAATTTTTAAATACTATTGTATTTTTTGATTAATTGTTTTCTTTTTCTAATCTAATTTCTACATTTTATTTTAAATCGATTTTTTTTTTAATTTCATTTAATTTATTTATTTGTACTTTGTTTTAATTTTTATTTAACTAAAGTTTCTCTTATTTATTAGTTTTAATTGTGTTTTATTTTAAGAAAAGAATTTTATATTTTCTTAAATTTAATTCAATTTTTAAAAACTTATTTCTAAAAGGCGAACGGCAGTTAAAACTTCCTCGTTAGCAAATCTTTCAATTAGTCTTTTGAAAGCATAAAATCCAAGATACATAGTTGAATGAATTGACCATTATCTTACGAAGGACTTTGGTCTTTCTAAAGACAATTGCCAGAATTGATTTGTGACAGCAGAGACATAAGACTTACATTGCATGAGTCTGAAGAGTTAGAACGATGATTCGTTATGGACCTAGTAGGGTAGCCAACTTCTAGCTACCATTACTGCATGATTGAAGAACTATGGTATAATATACCAAAACACTCCAAACTGATCGCCATCGATTTTCTTCGGCCAAATAAGGGAAAATAACTGCAGACGACGAATCGTTCTTCACCAATGCAATGTGAGCTCTCAAACATTGGCTCAAATAAACGGTAATTTAACTAGCGAAACTATTGAATAATGAGTCGTTGCTAGTCGTTGCTAGTCGTTGAATTAATAACCAGTTGCAAAATTTTTGATACAGACTGCTCTCGCTTCTAAAAATTCGTCAACAAACTCCTTAAATTTCGTGGCGTAACTTACGCACATGTTTTTAATCTTATACCATATTTCCACTAGATACTGAATGACCAAAATTGAAAAAAAAAACTTTTCATTACGATAATAAAATTGTTCATTCATATCTTTTGAATTTGTCTAGTGAAAACTAGACATTAGCTAAAAATATTTATGTAGTTAATACCATAAACTTGCTACCTAAAAATCAATTGAATATAATCGGCATAGATTCCGTATAAAAGACTACAAATCTGCACGTTGGCGCATTTCTTCTTTAATCTACAGAGCACTGTGCCACTTCTGCTTGCGCTCCTGTCTCACGTTCCGTCACTTTTCGCAGCACGTACAACAATTTCTGTCTGCCTCTTCATACCGATTTCCACAGTTTACCGCGTTTCGTGCTTTGGTTTCGTTCTGCGGTCAATGGCGTTAATAGCCAAGAAGTGTTGTGCCCACCTCCTGGTATAAGCGCGTTTCTGCAACACACCTATTCATAGACTTGAGTATGTACATATGTATGTAGGTAATACATATTTTATATTACAAGCAGCGGCTAATAATTGTGCGAATCATTACAGTGAATGCGGTTGGATCGTAGCGTAAAAATTCGATTTTCTCAATTTAATTTTTTTTTTTCTCACTCCACTTTTTCTGTGGTTACTTACATACTTCAACTTTTGATGGCTTCACTCACTCCATAACTTCCAACACTCCACCATAGTACCGCATATACATACATACATACATACTTAAATAGCACTTCAGTGTTTTATGACCAGAACGAATCGGGTCTTTATTTGCAGCCAATATTCATTCCTCATACAATATTTTATAGTTGCACACACACACACACACACACACTTTTTTTTGTTTGATACTCATTCCACTACAGAGGCCATTTAGCTATACTACGCTACGCTATAGTTGGTTGTTGGTGTTTCTTTATCTGATTTCTTCACATTTCCTCATTTATTCAATAATTTTTTAAGACGAATCAATCACAATGATTATGATAAATGATTTGCGAGCTCTTGTTGTTTTTGTTATTGGCCGTAATTGTCTTTAACCAGTTTGTAGTGCGATCGTTTGGGCGCATTCGAATTCGTTGCGTTTAATGAACCAAAATAGTAAGATTATTGAAGTACTTTTCTTTAAAGTTTTCAAAGCGCAAAAGCGTTCACTTTCACATAAAAAGTTTGTAAGTATTTATTTGAATATTTCTGGTAATTTTGTAATAATTTTTTTTACGTTTTTTTTTTAATGATATTAATGATTTTAATGCGTTGCGTGTAATTTGGCTTGATTGCAATCGATTTGTGTAGCCTTCGCTAATTGACCCAATGAACTGGCATTGCGTATGACCTGATTGAGTGCACAAATTTTCAATATTCCAAATATGATATCAGCTCATTTGCGTTCGGTAATGCACACAAGGACGGACAAAAAAAAAAAATAAAAAATAAAAATAAAAAAAATACAAAAAAATACATTTCACGCGCACGTACAGCGCAAAAGCAAAAACAAAAATAAATGTATACATATTGTATTTTTCATTCATCCGATATGTTCACAAAGCACTAAAACATTGTTGCATAAATTTTGCTGGCTCATATTTTTGCTGCAGCTGCTGCCGCCGTCATTGTGCGGTCGCAGCCAATCACTGGCCAAAATCTTGTTAACAAGCTTCATTAACGTCATTTTTATATAACCTGTTGATATATGGTCGACTAAACCAACGCCAACTGACGGATCAGCTACATACATAGGCAGAAAGTGTGGCAGAGGCAAGCGGCCAGTAGGACAGCCGATCCGTAAATACAGATACTTTTGTGTGTTGCACGTAGCGCGCTTATACTTACATACATACTTACTACATAGTAGTTGCTGATTGTCGGCATAAAAATCATATATGTAGTACTAACAACATTATTGTTATTGTTGCTGCTTTGGCTGTTACTTGGCGATGGCAACTGTTTTGCATTCACCACTTGTCGCACTAACAACATTTGGCGCGCCTGATTGGCTAGCCGCCGTGTCTTGTTGCAACTAATGTTGCCGCTTATTTTGCTCGTAACAATTTTACTACGCTTATTTTTCACAAATTTCTTGGCAAAGTCTTAATTAAAATTGGCATTTTGGCAGCGTTGACGGCGTCGGTGACGTTGACGTTGACGTTGACGTTGACTGCAGTGGCAATTTCGGCGGCAACAATTCATGATACTTTGGTACCTGTTGTTGGCCGCCATTCATGCACTCCATAAACTAGGCGTGTGACTGATAAAAAAAAAAAGCCAAAAGCTACATACATGTACCGATTTGGCTTGTAATGCACGCCCACGTTTCTTTAAGCCGCAGCGCGGCCGCTTGTTGTCGGCAGATAATTTGGCATTTAATGGCTGTTCACTTTATTGACCATTTCAATTTTTGTTTAATGAAATGGTG